ACTCGGCGAGTCCGTGCCATGCACTGACTCAATCTTGCTCTAAAGGTCAGATCCAGTTCATTAATCCATAGATCCAGTCCCTCCAAGCTCATTTAGCACGTAAAGTTACAATCTTGATGCACATACAACCTCTATATGACCATATATGATGTTTATGACTCAAATACTACAACACAAGGTCAAAGACTCTATTGTCACCCATAAAGCTTGATGAGTGAGGCTCTCTGGACCTCTATGGATCCAGATCCATGGCCTCAACTCAAAGAGGGAACCAATGGGCATCAAATCATCCCATAAATGACCACCACAAGCCCTAAATTGCATCATGCTTTACTAAACAGAAAATGGTCCGAGATAATACCTCTAGAGTGATGATCTAAGCCCCAAATCCACGAAATAGCAACCTCCTTTGCTTCCTCTTGCCTAGGGTCTCCTTCTTCTTGCTAAATAACACACACAAGATCAAGAATGGCTCCTTTCTATTCACAAATAGCTCAAGAACACAAGGGTCACTCACTGAGGGTTGGGTGAGCACAAATGACGGCCATAAGGCCCTTTAAATAGGCCTCAAACCCGGAGATTTAGGGTTTCATTACACAGCGCAGACTCGCCAAGTCCATATCCTGGATTCGCCGAGTCCAGGCGCGCACCAATGTTAAATTCCACGTCCCTACTCGGCGAGTCTGAGCTCCAACTCGCCGAGTCCCACTCACAATATGACAAAATTAGATTCACAAGATACCTGGTAAAAATCCGAATGTTACATTGAGCCTTATATAATGATCATTATGTCTTCATCCCAGCCTCTTTATCACCCCTTGAGCCCCAGAAAACCCTAAATCACGGAGAAGCACCATTGTTGAGTGGATTGGAGCTTGGAGAAGTAATGGTTGAAGGAATTTTGGGAAGATTGAAGGCTTGGAGCAAGGGGCTTTGCTTGGATTCGAATTGCATTGCAGTTGGGGCATCACTTAGAGGTAATATCTCGTTATTGACCTGTTGTTATGTTGTTTCTTCATTTTGGGGTTTGTAAGAAATTGTCTATGGATGAAATGGGAAATCTAGAGGTTAGATCTGAGGTTGCTACCTCAGATCTGGAAGGGAGAAGAATCAGAGAGCATGAAAGTCCCCATGTTGGAGTGTTTAGTGAAACTTACATGTCCCAAACCCTAGCCCAATGTGCAAATGGCTTAGATCTCTTTGGATTCACGTAAATTTTACCACTTTACGTGATGGATGAGTGGTAAGAGACTGGATCTATGTTTTGGAGCAGTTGCATGGCCTGGAATGCTTCGGAATGTATTCAGACCTGTGGTACTCAGCGAGTCACATGGGTGGACTCGACGAGTTGGATGAAGATGGCCTGGAACTCGGCGAGTTGTATGAACAACTCGGCGAGTAAGTTGAAGATAGCCGTAGACTCGGCGAGTCTGTTCTTGGACTCGACGAGTCCTGTCGAAGAGTCCCAAATATTCTCTGGTTGAGTCGAGAATCGGTGAGTCGAGGGATGACTCGGTGAGTCGTGTGCGAGTGGACTTAGAGTTGTTGGACTCGGCGAGTCTCGGGGTGACTGGGCGAGTTAGGTCGCAGCTTGAGTGAAGTTCTGATTATGGGAACTCGACGAGTCACAGGGTTGACTCGGCAAGTAGGGTCAGTCAGGGGTTGACTTAGACTGAGGACTTTGGTTTCGACCAAGGGTTGACCGTTGACTTTTAGGGTTTGGTCAGCGATGTGGCCTTTGGGCCAAGAGAGAGGTAAAATAGTCTTTTACCCATAAGAGGGTGTTATGAGAGGATTTATTCTAGCCTCGAGAGTTATATTCATGAGAGTATTTGCCTTACGTGTTAGGCGGTGGTGAGTTCGAGATTCAAGTGTTGGGATATCTGCTTTCTGCTTGCTAGGTGAGTCTTCTCACTATCCTTTACCTTGAGTAGGTAACCAGATTTATGTGATCAGAGTGTTTGTATGCTATTTGTATGTGATGTGTTGTACTGCATTATTTCTATGTGATTTATGTTGTGCATGTTTATAGAGTTGGAATCGGAAGGTTCCCAGAGTTAGAACCTGAGGGTTCACAGAGTTTGGGTGCACGGACCCATAGAGTTATAGCCTCGAGTGGCTAATATGTGTTATGTGTGGTATTTTGGGGAACTCACTAAGCTTCGTGCTTACAGTGTTTTGTGTGATGTTTTTTTTTCAGGTTTCTTTCAGTATCACGGGACGGCACCGGCTTGATTGTACACACCAGAGAAAGAGTCATATTTTTGGAGGATCCTGGTTTTCTATGCAAGTGAAAATGGAGTCATGTTTTGTAAATCGACTATGAATGAGATTTTAAACAAGTGTTTCTAAGAATAAAATGATTGTTTTAAATGAAAATTTTGTCTTGAAATTTACGGTGTTACAGTCTTGGGCCCTTTTGTTTTACAACCGGATTGGGCTTGTCAATCCATGTTTATCTAGATTAGCCCTTTTTCTTTGATAAACGGTTAGGGTTTTGTTATAAATATATGCATGCATGTATGCGTATAGTAGAGTTGTCGTCATTCTCATTGATGATTGTAAACCCTAAAATCCTCTACAATTGATGTTCTTTATCGAGCTCTTCTGAGGATTGTTTATTAATCATTCGACACCTTTTGATCCATTTGCTTGTTCTTATTGTTTATCTGGTTATTTCTCTACCTGTTTCATAGATCTAATCGATCTTCAAGTTTATTTTTTAAACTTATCAATTGGTATCAGAGCAGGAGGGTGTGTAATCGATACACTTCTTTTCTGTGAAAAAGCTTCGATTAGGGTTATTCCGCATTCATTGATATTTATTGAGCCGTCATCTCATAATTGACGTATCTCGATATTTATTGTTTTTGCCCTAATTTGATATATTACAAGTCTGATCTTTGAACAGGTTATTCTATCAATTATGGACGAGTCGCAATCCAATCCCATCAATATTTCAAACAGCATTGGATCAACAACGAAGATTCCCATCCTGTACACCCATGATTATGAAGTCTGGGCGAATCACTTTGAAGATTATGTCATAGGATCTGAGGATAATGGATACCTCATCTGGGAAGCAATCATCTCTGGACCTTTTTCTCATTCAGCAACTTCAAGGATTATTAAAACTCAAAAGGAGTATAACGATCTTCTGAAAGATGTTAAAGATGTAGCGCAAGACGAAAAAGTTAAATTTCAGTGCAATATCAAAGCGTTAAGATTGATCAGATTTGCTCTTCAATCCGATACTTTTAGGCTGGTAAGTTCATGCACGACTGCAAAAGAGATATGGGACAGGCTACGTGAACTGTACTCTACAGACGAAGATCTTGAACACTCCATTCAAACCTTACTCTTGTCTGAGTTTGGTGAGTTCAAGCAAGGAACAGAAGAAACGGTAACTCAAACGTTCGATCGCTTCAATCATCTTCTTAGCAAGATGATCAAACATGACATCGAAAGAAAGCTTATTGAAAAGAAGGTTACGTTTTTGAACGGACTCAGATCTGAGTGGAGAGCAGTCGTGTCCACAGTTAAAGCGCACGAGCAATTCAAATCCTATTCTTTGGCAAAACTGGTGGGGATCCTAAAATCTCAAGAAAAGATCGTATTACAGGAGAAAAACATGGTTTCAGGTCTTGGTTCATTGGCCGTCCTGTCGAAAAGCAAAGCGGTGATAGAGGACGAAGATCTCAACTTAGATGATTATGATCTCACGTCTGAGGACTATGCTATGATGGTGTCAAACCCCAAGAGATTCATCAAGAAGAGATTCCCCACTAATAGGAACCGAAACTGGCAAGGGAGTTATAGCTCTGAAAAGGTTAAAGATGAACCGAAGGGTGCAGAGTCAAAGAAGGAACCGAAGGCTGAAGGAGATTCTGGAGTGAGCTACTTTTATTGTGGAGGAAAGAACCACTATGCAAAAGACTGCGTCCTCAAAAAGATGGCAGAAAAGGACGAGGAAAATGATGAAGAAGCTGTGTTGATGAAAAAGCTTGATGAATTAAGGATGAAGAAATCTGCTGCTAATCCTCCTATGAATGCTTTAATTGTGGAGGGTTCGGTAGCTGATGATGAGTTCGGTGGCATGGAGGTCTGGTCAACCGACTCCGAAGATGATGAAGTGAGGAAGCCTTCACATGGAAAGGCTTATGTAGCGAAAGAAGAGAGCAGTGGAGGAAGATGCTTGATGGTGTCCGACGTATCTCAGATGAGGGGATACAACATTGATGGTGGGAATGATGACACAAAGGAACAACAGAATCTGTGCTTTACTGCCAAACCACTCAGCGTGCAGTTCAACGAACTTGATGAACTGATCAAGAAGGTACAATCAGTTTTTGTCTTATTTAAAGTCCCACAATGCTCATATGAAAAGGAATTAAAAAGTGTTAACTCAAGAATCTCTCATCTAGATAGTAGTTTAACTCAAACTCGGGTCACCAATTCTAACCACTACTAGAAAAACAGCCTTTTACGACGCTCATTGTGCGTTGTAAAAGGCTCAGACGACGCGCAAATGCGCGTCAAGGAAGGCCCTGTCATAAAGAGAGACGACGCGCATTTACGACGCTCATTTACGACGCGCGTTTATGACACGCAATGCGTATCAAGGAAGGCCCTGTCATAAAGGAAGACGACACGCATTTGCGTGTTGTAACCTTACGACACACGTGTTAATGACACGCAATGCGTATCAAGAAAGCCCCTGTCAAGAAAGGTCATGTCATAAATGAAGATGACACACATTTTTGCGTATCATAATTTAAATGTTTAAAAAATATATTATTTATAGATTTACTAATTTTCAAATTAAATAATAAATTAAAATCTCATAATACAAAATAAAATACCATAAATAACAAAGATAATTCATTTGACTAATATGTCAAATACAAATAATTATTCCAAAAGTGAATAAATCTTATAAAAAAATGAACTCATTTATATACAATTGAACTTAAATTCACTTGTTCCATGTAAATGTTGACTTAAGTTTCCATTTTCAATGAACTCATACACCAAAAAAAAGGGAGCCCTCCACACAATATCGTATTAAACGCACCTGCAAATATAAAGTCAAATGTTAAATAAATATGGCCAACTCAAAATCTTGATAAATATATTTATCAATTGAAATACCGCATACCAGGTTTAGATGATGAACATGTGTTAACAGATAAAATAATATAATTATGTCTAAAACTAATATTCCAAACCTCGCCTATGAGTTCTGCATAAATAAGTGGCAACAGTTATGGAAGAAGGCCCTTGATGAGATTTGGCTTGTTGTGGCCAGCTATACTCAAAGCGAAAACAGCTGCACGCCTAACATGCTGCCCATGTTTATCAAAATTTAACAGATCATGCTAATAACTCATACATATAGAATTATAAGGAAAAAAAAGAGTAGGGTTTTCCCCAATCCGTTAAATTAGACAAAACAAAATGTTTTCTTTCCATTCCAATGGAATGAAGAATTCCATTCCTCCCCTGATTCCAGCATATATAGAGATACTTACCCTGATCAATTAATTTAATCAAATATGCATAAAAATACCAATCAACCCACCAACACTTTTGTTAAATCAACACAATAACACTATTATTAAAAACTATGACTCAAATTTTGTAAAGGAGCTGTGTTTTAAATATTGAGCATGTGAAAGGAACCAACGCTTCATGTGATTTAAGTTTGAAGCAACTCCATTATTCTCTGATGAGGAAGCATCCAGTTCTTCTGTCACCTCCATTTTATCACCTGAGATACTTGCTGCAAAAAACTGTACATTTTTTGTCATTTTTAAAACAATATTCAAATAATTTTCTGTCATGTTTTCACAAACATCATTTATCTAGATAGCACTTTATCAGTGTATCACTTAATGAGGAAAAAAAGCAATTTGAGAAGGGAATAGCAATATACGAAAAGGAAAAAAAATAATAATAAGAATAAGTATAAGAAACCTGCTCTAGAAATGAAATATGGAGGTAGCTCTCCTAATGCAGTTCCAAGGCCCCAAATAATAGCTTCTACTTGTACTTGAGGCAAAATGCTGCTGAGTGGAACCTGAACACCTTGAGAGGATAAAAAAACAATGGAGGCCCAAACTCTGAACAATCCTTTTGAAGCCATGTAGGGCTTCTATTTAACTTTATTGTATCATCAACAGCACTTTTAAGATCCACCCGACGACACTGCATTGCTTTTATTGTGAAGAAAGGAATGTGGGGACCCAGATATAGAACAAAAGTGTGTAGCCCAGACCCTGATCAATTAATTACAAATACAACTTAACAAAACTTCAAAAACTTTGGTTTCCAAAAAAGAACATAATAAATGAAAATGCAAGAATATAATTATCTAAAGGGAAAAATAAAGAACAACACTTGTACTTTCACCATTTTATTGATTTAGCCACTGAAGAAGTATTATTTTTTTTTTATTAAATTAGCTATTGAGCTATTATTATAATAATAATAAATGATAATGGGGATAAAGTTGATTGAGCTCACCAAGACCAATGGAAGATGCAACACCAAGAGCTACCCACCACAGTCCAAACCTTGCATATTCAAGAAGCTCTTCAACATGCTACAAGAACACATGTATCACATATTCATCATTATATATTAATATGTAACATATAATCATGAAAACCAAGGAACTTACAACCTCATCGATAATTTGAAGGAACTTTGAGTACGATGAATCATAGGCAAAGAATTCGTTAACAAACAGAATACCTATTGAAGATCAATGTACAACTGATTTTGGGTTTTGGTTTGATTTTATGCTTTTCTTGGAAAACAACTAATAAAGATCAATAAATAGAGACCAAAAAATGGTATTTACTTGGTTTTATGGATGATCTCGTGATCAATAGAAGCTTTCATTTGAGAGAACTCATATACATCATTATTTCAAATAAAACTGCAGAAATATGTAGTTGTAATGGCCTAATGTAAGTAATAGGCAATAAGAAGTACCTTTCCATGAGGACCATCCACAGACAGAAACAAGAGTCCAGCTGCAACTGTGAGTGTGAAAAAAGCATAAGCCAGACAACATGTGTCAGAAGGTATACCAGTGATCTGCTTATATACTGAACAACAGCCACTATAAAAAGCTTCAATGTTTTGAAAGGTTGTGCTATTAATGTCATATTCTCGAGTTCTTGTTTATGCTTCTCACGCAGTCCTACAATTACAAACAAGAAAACCGATTAGCCAGGGAAACAAGGCATTCACTCACCATTACAAAAATATAAACCCAAAATTGGAAAAAAAATCCAAATGGTAAAATGAGAACTTCCATAATTAAGGCTGTGTTTGTTACATGAGACAAAAAAGATTACAATTTTATCCAATTGACATCAGTCCACTCAATGCACACTAGACACAGAGCAATGCCATTGTGTTGTGTCATGTCTTATGTATATAGACATAGACTATAGAGAGATGATAAATTTTTTCATAAGAAAAGAGTGAGGTGATCTTATTAGATCAATTATACACACACACACACACACACACAGAGAGAAAGAGATACAGGAATAAACACAACCATGGTTCCATTGTGTTAGTTTGATATTATTACATTGTCATATTAGCTTCATGTAAACTCGAGTAACCTAGAGCAAGTTATCCAACAAACTCATTTCACATCTTCAATGACATTTAATCAATATTGTTTCGATTTACCAAATTAAGTAGGTAAAACTTTCTTGGTCTGAAAAAAGAAACAATACAAAACCTCAACGAAAATAGAGTAAGTAAAGAAGACTAAAAAAAACCCTTGCGAAAGTGCAACAGACAAAAGATATGAATCAAATAAAATAAGCCAATAAGGCGGAGAAAGGGATATAATATGTCCCTTGATTTTATAAGGTTAAGAAGAGAGCAAGAATGGTAGCAAGAATCAGCTTGTCACAAAGTCAAATCAATTAACCAATGAAAAAGGATAATAGTTTAATCTATTAGACAACCAGATCAAAAAAGTTGTGGATCTGGACAGATTGAGCCACCCTAGTTATGTCCATGGATTACAGCCAACAACATCAAATGTTAGAAGATCTGATTTAAACAATCCCGGCATCTCAAAAATCAAAAGAGGTACCTGAGATCGGCATCTCGAAAGCCTGAGAAGACAACAAGATTTATGAGTATGATTGAAGTTCTTCTGCACTCACATGCTAAAACGAAAATACATCTTTTGAATCAGTTTAAATTCTTGATAAAATCTCAAATCAGTGACAATCGGGATGAATACAAGGCCTAGAAAATCTGATAAACTCACTATTGAAACGGAGCAGGCTAAGATCAGTAACAACGCGAAAGCAGATCTTTGTTGTTGTTACGGGAAGAGGACTCCAGGAAGATATGAGATTCGCAGCATTCACTGATTGTGCGCTGTCTCTCTATGGATATGATTTGTGCTCGCTGTTGCTTGCTTTTCTTGGTCTCGAGTTAGATGTTAAATCAGACAATCCAGCCAACATTGGGACAAAAAATAAAAAGTGTAGAAAATCTTACATACATCTGGTTGGGATCGAAGATGGATTTAGTTATTTCTCCGTTTCTTTTTCCTTATTCTCTATACATTGTTCTTTTCTTTTCTCCCTTTTTCCATCTGAGAGTTTCTTAAAATTTTAGGGCTTCTGCACTTGGAGTTTGCTGAAATTTGTTAATCAGTCACACAAACACACCCTGATTTCTCCATTACCGAACAATCACCAACCATCATCTCCTCACAACCCCTTGACAACCTTCGAACGCCACCTCACACCCTCACCTGCAAATCGAAAAAAAAATAATAAGAAGGGAGAAGAAGGGTTGTGATCGAACCAGAGGAAGAAAAGGGGAAGAAAGAGGAAGAAAAGGCACATCTTTTCTTTTTTCTTTTCGCTCTCAAACTCTAGCTGTAAATAGGAAAGCACGAGAGATGTTGGGAGAATAGATGCAAGAGAGACAGAGATATCCATTTAGGTACGGTTGAGAGGTGAGAACATATAATCATTTGAAGAAGAAGGAATTTGGATGGGTGAGGGTGGGGACGAGGAAAACCTGTTTCCTGTGAGATCCAGCGCACAAAAGCCCTAGTTCTTCCAATCTTGGGATGGCGTGTATTTAATGTCTCAGAGGGAGAAAATGGTAGATAAAAGAGGATAGTTGACATTGTTGACCACTATATCGCTGCCAAACACCAAAAATACGAAAAAGAGGAAGAGTTATAGCCGCATAATGAGGTCTAGGGTTTACAGAGAAAAGGAGAAGCAGAGAGTGAAGGTTTTCAGTTGATGGAGAGGATGAATTCGTTATTCCTTCCCGAACAGCAACAAATTGATCACAGAACGAAACCTACAAATGAGGTCTAGGGTTTACATGGAAACCCTAAAAGATGGAAGAAAAGCGGGGTTTTTAATTTTTTAGGATTTCATTTCCCCCTGTTATTAAAGGATATAACGCACGTTCCATTAAAATTTATAAAGCGACATCCTTAGATGACACACATGTGCCCTCCGTGTTTTTTTTTTTTTTTTTTTTTTTTTTTTAGTTTAGACACTAACTTAAGGGCACACAATAATGCATGACCTAAATCCTTAAATTTTTTGAAGAGATGACTCTTTTTTAATGTCACTCTCTTTTGCGTAACATAAATCAATGAGTGTCGTGGTTTGCGCGTCGTAAAAGGCTTTTTTTCTAGTAGTGAACCTAACTGACCAATTAAGCAGGGTGTCTTCGAAGAGTGAGGAACGGCGGATGTGGATCGAACTGAAGGAGTCGGAGTTAATCAAAATAAAAGATGAAAACATTTATTTGCAAAGAGACAATTTAAAGCTTTTGAAACAGCGAAATGTTTTTGTTTGATTGCCAAACGTCTTTATGCAAATATTACTCAGCTTCATTTGAATTGTGAAATAGGGCAAAAGATTCATCGCATGATTTTACCCTTCCTTGAGTTTAAGGAAGATGAAATTGATGCTGAAGCATATAATTGTGAGAGTATTATTTCGTCTGAGGATGTTAATCTGTAACGCCTGTAGATCCGGGCTAGTCAATTTAAATGCAATTGGGGTCGAAAATGACTTTTTGACCAAAGACTATTTAGAATAAAAAATCTTAACCAAGTTGTGGAATATGTCACAAGGTTTCCGTACATATAAAGAACGCCGAAATCTGAGTTATAACGAAGTAGTTATGGCCCGTCGAAGGTTTACGGCAAAACCGGCACGACACCGGGAAGCGTAAATAGTGAATTTACAATAGAGCGAGATTTATCCTTAGCAATCTAAATGAAAGTCGTAGAATATGTTAAACTAAGAGCGTCGATAAAAAGAACGCCCAAATCTGACTTCGTATGAGGAAGTTATGATTTTTCTAAGATTCGGCTTAGTAGTGTACAACCCGAAACTCGAATTTTAGTTCGAGCGGTTTTTGGCTAACGCGACCTAAATGAGAGTTGAAGATCTCATTAATAGGACCTCAACGGTAAAAATACAGACGAAAACGGAGTCCGTATGAAGGAGTTATGAATTCTTCGCGGTCATTTAACAGTCTAAACGCCTCCTACTGTTAAATTTGAGATCGGTCGTGAATTAGTCGACGGAGTCTAAACGAAAGTTGTAGATCTTGATTTTACCTACACGTGGATATAAAGAACATCGAAAATGGAGCTCGTATGCGAAAGTTATGAATTTTTGAAAATTGGTTGATTTTCACCCGGTGTGCGAGGCCACGTGTCAGCACCAGGCTGCGCCTGGCTGTAGCCAGCCTGGCTCACAACATGAATATTAAAAATTCACGACGTGAAACTTCCTCCAGCCCCTATAAATAAGTGGTGAGGCCTCCATTCATTCCTCACACCTCCCATAACTTCCCTCTCTCTCTAGAACTTCTCTTTAAGCCTCCCTAACCCCCCAAAGCCTAGGGTAACTCCCTAGCACGAGGCGGAAGCCCTGGAGCGCCCGAAGGCTCCAAGAAAAGAGTCTTTCGGCTCGGAAACACTGCTCCAGTGAAGCCCGATTTTCAAGAAAACCCGCTGTAAGTGAGCTATGCCTACCCTATCTTTAGTATAGCTTATGTTTTAATATATTAACTTTATTAGGAACTTATAATAAGTATTTGGGCTATTATTATGAGTTATATTGAGTGTTACTTAACACATATATAATAATAATAATAGCTAGACTATTAATTAGTCACGGTTATCGTTAGACTAAACCCTAGTGGTATTGATACTAGGTTTTATCAAAGGAAATTGCTTTGAGAGTATCGAAGCACTGTCCGAAATGCTGAGTCACCACCTTTCAGGTGAGTGCATGGTCCCTTTCATCTTACACATAGATATATAATTTACATGTTGTGAGTGCATAATCCCTTTCATCTTACACATAGATATGAAGTATTTTAATATAAATTACGTGTTATGTGTACATGTTGTCTGAATACTTGCTGTCTATGCTGAGTGAAAGATTTTTATACATGTTTTAAATGATTTAAACTGTATACGTATTTTATATCTACAAAACGTGTTGGGAAAAACATGGGTAGATGAAATAGTTGTTTGTGATAACACGATGGGAGACATCAGTGTTGTTAGTGATCCAGTCATCTAGTGGAGTATAGATGACGACTATGGATGATACTAGACAGTCCAGTGGAACGATAGCAGTTTCGTAACATGTAGGTATTTTTGAACTAGGTGCTCATTAGGTATTTTGAACTGAGTGTGTTCACTACGTATCTTTGAACTGAGTGTGTTCACTAGGTATTTTGAACTAAGTGTGTTCACTAGTTACTTTTGAACTAAGTGTTTACCAGATGTTTCGGACTACGTGTTAACCATATATATTCTATAAGCCTTGGTAATGATGGACTTCGTGTCGATTCCTTAGGATGATCCTTAGGAATAAATAAACGAGGAATAGCTGATTCTTAGGGTAGATCCTTAAGACTAAAGAAGATAATGAGGATGGGTAATTGGGTTGATTGTTTGATTGTTTAAACATAATAATATTGTGGGTTGAAAACCCTATGTACTCACCAGGTTTCCCAACCTGACCCACTCAGTTTATGTATATCACGGGTGACGAAGTGAAGTGACATTATACTGAGAGATTTAAAGAGATGTAGATCACTAGTGTAAATCATTGTAAGTTCTGTTTATGCTTATGTTTCGGTATTAACAATGACATCCCAAACGTTTTAAAATGAAATAAATACGTTTCCTCGAAAATGTTTTAATAACGTATTTACCATGTTTTTTTTTCTGGGAACAAATTCCGCAACCTTTTTATAAAATGAAGTACTCTGATTTTCATAAAGCATAAACAAAAATCGGTCTTTTCTGGCTGTGATTTTGGGGATATCACAGTTGGTATCAGAGCATTAGTTTAAGCTAACTAGGAATATGGATTTATTTCTAGACTTAAACTTAGAATGCTAAGAAATGATTGTGAGGTGTGAGCACTAGATTATTTTAGGAATTATGCCTAAAATGCTTTTATGTGCTAAATGCTTTATGCCTTATATGCTGTTATTTATTCGGATCTATGGTCTGTTGCCGACCGGATCTGGAAACCTTACGTGTTTAGGATTCTAAACGTATGACCACGATATTAGAACTAGCATGTAAACGTTTCGGAGTGACAAGGAAGATTTAAACGTCAATCCTAAGTAAAGGTCTAGATTCACCTTATTCGGTGTATAGATCAAGATGGCAAGGACCCGTAGCGGAAACGTGAACGCAAATGAGAATAGGAACCAACCCCCAGTGGTTCAGCAAATACCTTTTGTAGAAGAAGTTGCACCTGAGCCAGTCACCATGGCTGGAGTTCAAGCCATGATTCGGGCTATGCTAGTTGAACAAAGGAAGAAATGAGGCAGATGTTGAATAGGGACGAACCTACTATGCCCACTGAGCAACCCGAGTTGATTCCCTAGCAATCAGAGGAAGGGAACTACAGCCGCCAAGTGAGTCAAGTGGGGACTCAAGGTGATCAAAGGGATGGCCAGGAGAGGAGAAACAACAAGGATGGGAGAATGTACAAGAATTTCTTGGGTGCGAAACCACCAAGTCTCTCAGGAAGCCCAAAGCCTGTTGAGATTATGCATTGGATCTCCGAGATGGAGATGGTGTTTGAGAGCTGTGACTGTAGCGAGAAACAGAAGACCGTCTTCGCTGTAAGACAACTGAAAACTGGAGTTTTGAGCTGGTGGAAGCTATTGGCAGATACGATGCCACGAGGAGAAGCCTTAAGGATGTCATGGGAAGAGTTCTTGGAACAGTTGAAAATGCAGTACTGCTTAGAGATAGATCTGATAGACCTGAACAACGAGTTTCAAAACCTGAAGAAAGGGAAGATGAGTGATGATGAGTATGCCACCGCATTCACC